GCCCCCCCCCCCCCCCCCCAAAGGCACGGAAAAAAAATGCAAAAAAAAGCTTAACAAAAATAGGGTCCCCTGTTTTCACGGCTGCTGGCCCTGCAACCCTTGGCTCGGTGGTTGCCTCCGGAGGTTCTGCCTGCGTTTCTTTGGCTGCCGTTGCGGCTGCCGCTATCTGTGCTTCTGGCAACATCTGCAGCGCTTCCTTACTTGGTTGTGAGCCGTCGGTTTCTTTCTGTAGCCCGGCCACATCCACGTCTGCATCGCCGGGCATCTCCCTGGCCTCGTTTCCTGCCTGTCACGGGCATGAATCAAGGCACTCAGATGGACCAAAGCAAGGAGCAACGCTGCAAGAGAGCCTCAGCAGTCGCTGCCTCCACGCCTGCTGGCTCTGCAGATTCTGTGACCGCCGCCGCGCGGCTTTCCTGCAGAGCGTGCGTGCAAGCGCATGAAGCTTTCCACGATACATTCAAAGGGCGGTCATGGGCGGCTGGGGACAAGGCCGGTGGCAAAAAACAGTATTCAAACACCATCAACATTATCTTGGCGAGGGCATGCGGAGGCCACAGCGACTGCCGTCCTCTGCCAATGCGTCTGCGCTGAGCTTCTCGGCGATGTTGCGCAAGACCAAGATATGTGCCTCTGCGTTGCTGCAGCTCTTCTCCAAGTCAGCACCCTCCAGACCTCGCCACAGCCAAGCCATCGTCATTCATGTAAGCTCCAACTACAAGTAGAACCCACCCCCAACGCTTCCCACGCGGCTCGCGCTTCAATCTGTGCCAAGGAGCGGAGCATCGAAAGCGCCTGATGCCTTTGGGCCAGATGCCGAGCGCAGGCTGACACCTCCGCGGAAAGCTGCTCCTGTCATGGCTGAGAAGCTGAAGCAAGAAGATGAAAGATGATGCAAGATGATGCAAGATGACGCAAGCGTCCAAAGGGCCTCCCGCTGTCGCACAGCCAGGAGCTGTTGCTGCAGGTCATATCTCCGCCGCTCCAGGTCCCTGCAGGCACGGTGCACACTGAGCTCCCCAGCGCAGGAGAGCCAACAAAAAGCAGTCATGCAGTGTCATGCGCCTCGTAGCTCGCAGTCGGGTGCGAAGATCCGAGAGCTCATCCAACTGTGTGAGATGAACGAGTCGCAGATGTTCAACGACAGCTCGCGGTAGGCGCTGTGTGCCAGGTTGCCCCGGGACCGTGCAAGGCGCCGCCCTTCCGCGCAGAGGGCTCTCCGCCCGCTGTGGCCAGGCAGTCGCCACGTCAGCTCTGACCCGGGCTCTTGCGGCCCTTGCGTCTGCATCGGGGCTGCCGAACATGGAGCTAACGTCACTGACGTCATGGCCCTGAACCGAAAAGCTTTGGAGCTCGACGGGCCTACATGGATCGCAGGAGCTTTGCTTGAAAACGAGCACATTCTGAAGACGCCATTTGTCCGGGAGGGAAAAGCATCGACCTACTGGCGCCAGTAGCTCGAGCAGAGATGAGCAGAGCGTGCTTGCTACAAAAGAGCCTGTGCCAGCACATGGCTGCATGGATTGAATCTTGCCTCCCGTTAATCACGCTGCTGGGTCCACATCGTGGCTACAAGCGCTTAACTGTAAAGTGGACTCGGGATGCAAGTTCGTCCTACATATTTCCTTGCTCAGCAAGGATGCGCCGAATTCGCAAGACTTACGAGAAAGACGGCTGTGACCACACAATAACATTGGCATGAGTTGTTTAATGTGGGGGTGGTGGTGTGGCGACAACCAAAAGCACGGCTCTCTTCCACAGGCATCCCACGTTCCGTGGACTTCGAGTACCTGTTAAAACTTTAGAGAGGTCGACTCTTAGCTTTGGCCTTTGGTGCACCGCTCTCAGAGAGGAGCCGTTCGCCTTTCCAGCGGCTCGCACGCTTGATGAGGCTTGGGTGTCTTCTGCGGTGCTGGCGGTTTCGGCGGGTTTTGGGAGTATAGTAGGGCTTTGCGACGTCTTCATGGCTGAGCTGAGGCTGCGGGCGCGCTGGGCTGGCGGGGCTGTCGAGGCCAGCCGAGGTCTCTTGCGTCCTGGCAAATCCATGCGATAACAGATCGGGGAGGAGGCTTCGTCTCTGCTAGGCGCCAATGCTCGTGCGCGCCGACCTCAAGACGCGGATGGCCCACGGCTTGTCTTCAGACACACGGGGAAAGGCCCCACCTCACAGGAGCACTCATGAGCCCCCGAAATTCGCCGAATCTGGAACCCGCCTGGTGATGGTGGCGTGCGAGCCCGCGGAATGCTCAGCATTGGCTCCACCTCCAAGCAAGAAGATGAGCCTTCCACGAGCCACACCTTCAGGAAACGAGGTTCCCTGCCTTTGCGGGGTCAGCACCTTCAACAGTGAAGAGCCAGCAAAGGCTTTGGAGGGCTGCCTCTGGCGAATTGTCCTTAAACAATCCGGTTCCAAGTGAAGAGCAAGCCAAGGCCAAGGGAAGCGGAGAAGTGAAGACCCGGTAGAACGTGTCTTCCAAAAAAAAAAGCCAACGCCGTCTTTGCATGGTCGCTCAGGCCGGCGCACTGCCTGTGCCAAGCGCAACGCGATCTCCTGTTCAAGCTTTCTGATGGCCAGCCTGACTCCCCTGACTGCCCTGCTGCCCTGGCTCCTGATCGAAGCTCGGCAGGTTTTTGCTGCTCGAGCTCCAGGGGCTCCAAGCCGACCCGGAAGCGCCACATGGGGTTGGACGTCAGGGGCTCGATTCCTCGGAACTCGACTCCAGGCGAGGCAAGGGTAGCCCGCCTAGGGCCTACACTTGGCCCAGGTACGGAATAGCCCGCGCTCGCAGGAAATGCTGAAGTGATCCCTGCTCATGAACTTCAGGCACTGCGGGTTCACGGCGCGCTTGTGAAGCTCTGGCTGATGCTTCCTGCCCACGATCCTCAGGCCGCCAACAGGTCTTCAGCTCTGAAACTTCCGTGTTAGGGAGCTGAGGGACATCGGCTGATCCGCCACGGAAACTGGTCCAATTCTGCGCTCGCTGGCGGGAACGTCAAGCACTCCATCACCAGAAAGCTCCAGGCAGATCGGGGCTGGCCTCCCAGGCGAACCGAGGAACCAAACAAAATCGGACCGAAAGCCAGAAGTCTCAGGAAGCTGTTTTTTCTGCGAACGCATACCATGTCCCAAGCCCTTTATGGTAAATCGGCGCCCCAAGCCGAAGCTCGAGGAACCGAATCCAGAGCCCCAAAGACCGGAGAGCCTTTCATCGATCCTTTCTCGCGCGATCCGGCTCACCTCATCGCATCTCAGAGGGGCTGCTCTCGTGGCTGTGAAGCAACGGCTGAGCCCCCAAGGCACCCGATTGGGCGACGTCGAAGCATCGGGATTCACTTTCCGCGTCGGCGGCGACAGCGTTAGCAAGTGGGGAGCCTGCACTGGGGCGACTGGAGCTGGGAGCACAAGAGACGTGGGCATCGGGCATCTGCCTCAGCACCCTCCACCACCGTGCGGCGCACCTGCACCTGGTAAAAGCCGATTTTTAGAGCGGCATATCGGTGTTGAAAAGGGGCCAAAAAAAACCCAGAAACGAGCCAGCTGGACACTTCTCTGCGGAGACAGGTGTGTGGTTGGGGCACGGTTCGGCGCCTCCTGGCCTCGAAGGGGGCCTCGGCGTCTCTCTCTCTCTCTCTCTTTCTCTGTCTCTCTGCAGCTCTCAGAACCCGAGTGGAAGACTGGTGGGGCCAGGGCCTCCTTCTACCAAGATGGCCTGCATGAAATCGCGCGGGGAGAGTTCGCGCGCCGCTGTGCAGCCCCGAGAGACCAGCCTTGAACTTGAGGAAGTGGATGTGGTTGCCTGAGTCCTGCTCTGGTCGTGCAAAGCACAGCAGCTGGCCTCTTGCCAGCTTTACGGTGTGGCTTTGCGCCACGAGCTCTTCCCCAACATAAAGCCTGAGCTTGTGGAAGGGATGTGGTCCCGCCCTGTCCTACGAGTCTACACAACAGAAAACGGAGGCCTGCAAGCATTTAACAATCACATCATACAATTACCAGCTCCCAGCCAAGCAGCGGATTGGAGCTCAAGTTCGTCACGCAAAGTGACAGACCGTCGGCATCTGTATCCAGCTGACCATGTGTCCTGGAAATGAAGTTCCCCAGCTTCGGCTTGTCTGCAGCCTTAGCGAGGGCTTCGAACTGGTTCTGGTGGATCCGGCCCAGCATCAACGGGAGCAGCGCGCTCGGCACCTGGATGTCCCGCACCGCGCTGGGCAGGTCTGCGAGTTGGCCCGGGCTCAGGCCCTCGACGTGAACACAAGCGAGGATCCAGGTGCCCGTGCCGGTGCCCGCAGGGGGTCCGTTCGCGAAGCGCTCCCTGTCCCTGTCTTTCGCTTCTCTGCCGCGCGAGCGCGAGGGGCTGAGCTCCAGATCTTCCCGAACGGCTCGGCGGGGGCAAGGCGAGCTCGGCTCGCGACCGAGCCCTGGCCCTGGAAGCCGCGGCGAACTGGGCTCCACTTTCTCTTTCTCCTTCTCCTCCTTCTCCGGCTCTTTCTCTCGGCGCTCCGACTCCAACAGGATTTCCCCTGGTACAAACCGGAGCCGCAGCAGCACCGAATTCATATCGGCGCCATGATGGAACGCGATTTCAGCTCCAGACGACAGTGGGATGCCCGTCTCCCGAGGGGCAACTTTACCGTCCACCGAAATCAGGCCCGATCCACGAACTGTCAGCATTGCATTCTCACCTTTCGTGCCGCAGGCAATCTCAAACGCTGTTCGCGATATACAGTTTTGCCGTTGGTCCGGCACCCAAGCCTCAAAGGCCCGCTGCTGGTGCGACCGACCCACAGGTACTAGCAGTGAACCCTCGAGCATAGTCCCCGCGAGGCAAAGACGATGGACGTCGGGAGGCAGTGTGTTCAAATCGACACCCACAGCGGTAACAAATTCCAAGCCGAAAGCAGCTTGCGAGCTGTGTACAATTACCGCCTGGGCTTTCGCCTCGCGCGCCTTTGGGTTCGCCTCGCTTTCCGGCGACGTCGGGGCGGCCGGTGAGGTCGGTGGTGGCGCTGGCATTGCCGCAGACCTATGCATGAAGATGCCCCCGAAAGCTGCCCCAAAAAGCGTGCTCTGTCCTTGCGCCAAGTCGCTGAACGGGCTTCGGAAATCGCTCCAGGAGCCTGGGGCCGGGAAGGGTCTCAAAGACGTGCGCGGCGTGCACGGCCTGGCCTGCGAAGGGTGCGGACGAGCTCGACGAAGCGGGGGCGCTCCTGGCAACTTCGGTCCGCGACGAGTTGGCGTTCGCACCTCAGCACCTGCGCACCTCCTCCTGCGAGTGCACCGCACGCAGGGCCAGCTCGGCCATTTCTTTGGCCAAGTCTTTCGGCCAGCCTGCCTCAGCTTTCAAAAACTGTGACGATGGGACTCTCTCAAGAAGGAGCGCGACCGAGGGGCATTCGCATCCAGGCTGCACAGGCAGCGCTCTAGTGCTCCGGGGCTGTGCTGCCTGAGTAGAGTTCTTAGTAGCAGGTAGAGCTCCTACACACCCAGCTTCACTGAAGGCTGCCACGAAATGGCATCTGCCACCTGGTAGGCGATGCCGCCGGGCCTGGCTTTGACGTCAAAACCGCTCTTCGGCAATGGAAGCGACGCCTGGCCTGGTGGGATCTGCCGTCGCCGGTGCCAGGCCGGTCAAGAGCTCCAGCATCACCATCCCCAAGGAATGGACCTCTCCGGAGCTGCCAATGCCGTCTCTCCGTCTCTCGCCTTTCGTCGCTCCCTTTCGCCTCGCTGCCCTCGGTGACCCGGCCGGTGCGCGAGTAGATCGGGCACGCGTAGCCTGCACTCAAGGCACTGCTGCCACCGCTTCTTTGGGGCCCAGCACAACGCTGCATGCCGATCCTGGTGTGCCGCTGATCGTGCGGACTGTAACATGCAGCCTGGAAGAGCAGTGCATTCACAGATCTACGCGTGCTACACCATGGAAGAGAACCCGAGCTGGCAGCGAATTGGCATGGCTCGACGTGCAGCTCAGGCCGAAGTCTGCCATTTTGGCAGTTCCGTGACGATCCTGCTGCTTTGGAACTCTGCTGCGGTGATGTCTCAACGCACGCCGAGCGCCCGACTAAAAGTATGTTGGCTGACTTGATGTCCCTATGGAAAGCCTTGGGCTTCGAGTTGAGCATGTGGGACAGACCTGCAGGAAATGCGAAGAAACTCCGAAGAGTCCGAACAAAAAAGGCGGAAGACCTGCCGCTGCATCCAGGCAGACGCTGAGCCGCTCAAACCTTGAATGGAATGAGGCAACACATCCGTACTTCCTTCTTGCCTGCCCCCTGTTTTTGTGGGCCCCCGGACCACAAGAAGGGGCTGTTCGCACTCGGCTTCTTGCCTCACTGAAAAACACGGCTGACACGCCTCGTGTCTAATTTGTGCCTGTCTGCGGTCTCTGCTTCGAAGACGCTTACCGGAGATTTGGTTCGAGCGGCTTTTCTGTAATCGCTGGAAGCAGTCTCCCCCCGACAAGAGCTCGTAGACCAGGTAGCGCTTCCTGTCAGAGCCGCTGTCGTGCTTGCCCCATCCCAGCAAAGTCACCTCGCACGAGAACGAAGGGTAGCACAAAGGGTACCGCACGTCTGCGCAATTCTCATGGATTCAGAGACCAAGGCCAAGTTGGGGTGCCGGAATTTGCTCAGCATCTGCACCTGTGACACACATACACACCCCCGGCCCCCCATGAATGCGCAGTGCACTCATGGCCTCTTCCTCAAACCCGGCCATTTCCGGGGCAGTGCCCGAGGCACCCAAGGCGCCAAGGTCAATGGCCTGGTGCAAGGCGGGGCGTCCCAAGCTCTGTCGCGACGCTCTGTCGCGACGGAAGGCCTTGATGGCCACCTCCGAACCATCCTCCAGCTCACCCTGCCGGGAAAGGCCACGTCTACAGAGTGCCCTTTGATCACTCAAGAGGAGCCTTGTAAACCGAGCCATAAGACCCGGAACCTAGCCGCCGTGAGTCATGCCAGTTGGTCCTGGGCGGATGCACCACGACCGCAGGAACGAACGCGGCTTAAAAAGGCAAAAAGAGCGAACCGCGGTTTGGCGGTGTCTTTGGGCCCAAGAGTATCGGCGCATGCGAACAAGGCTCGTCGAGGCCGACAGTTCAGCGTAGGAGTACTCGAGGGAAATCTCCTTAAGATCCCACAAGCAGACTCCAGCTCGGGAAGAAGGCATCATGCTGTCAAGGCCAAGCCACTCTCAACTGGGTGCTGGGTCTGTGCGTTCGACCTTCGTGGTGGACGGGCTGCAGAACGGGCGGCACCGGTTGCGGGATCTGCGGGTAGCCTCTTGCAGAGGATGCTGGAACAGGGAACGCTACCTGCCACGAGGCGACACGGCCTGGGCCTGGGTGTCCTGGACGAACTGGATAGCCGTGCACAACATGGGCCGGTTTGCCACCAACTGGTGCGTACCTCCCAGTTTGCACATGCAGCCAACAGAGACCAGCCAGCCAAACCGAAACAGACCTGCAAATCCTGAGTTCCTGCCGAGGAACGCAATGCCTGGCTGTGACCATGGCTGGTACATCGCAGAGCAGGCGCAACTGGCAGGCTACATGCTAAGGCAAAAGGGATGCAGTGCGGATTGGCTATGGTTTGATGGTTAGCATCTGTGACCCGTCGTTTCGAGGGTCCAGCTCCTGCAATCTAGAACACCTTTTCCAGAGGACTTGGAGTGGTTGAACCCACTTCCGACGATCATGTCACATGTCTCTGTCATCTGCGTAACCTCGTGGTCGAAAACAAGCGGAGGAAAGCGCAAGCTCTTCCAGGATTGCACTGGGGCAACTCCAACTGGAGCGTTTGGTTGGTCTGGCAGAAGAGCTGTCTTTCGTCGTGCCTTTTTGTTCGAACTGCCGCGCAGGACACTGCCTTCCCGCAAAAGACTAAAACTAGCTTCCTACCCTACACTACCGGGATCAAGCCCAGCAGAGTTGCATCCGTCGCGTGCACAAATATCGGGCTCTACTGCTGCTACCTCTGCTCGGCTGCCCCGAAAGCACTCCCCTGTCCTCAGTGCTCGCTCTGCGAGGCATAGAGAGGTGGGCGTGACATGGTGCGGGGCTCGACGCTCCTGAACCCGCAAACTTCTCTGTGAGACGGTGACACGGAGGTGACGTCTCGAGCTGACGTCTTGAGGTGAGACCGTGGACCGTGGGCTGTGTCTCATCGCATTCTGCGAGAACTTCCCTTGAATCCATCCGAGACGATTCTAATTCAGATTCGGGTGACACCGGGAGAGACCCCGGGGCCAATGAGACGTCGGAAAGGAAGCGCTCCTTTCTGAATGGGGTGTGCCCGGCGTTCACGAGGCTTCCTGCTCCTCCCCCTCCTCCTTACTCCCATCCCCGAGGAGGCCGATGCTCTTGCTGGTGAGGGTCGTGAGCTCCTTCAAAATGCCGTCCATGTCCTTGTCGCCGGGCAGATCGGGCGGTATTCCCTGAATAAGCTCGCTGGAATCCTCCAAGGCCATCAGCAGCGACTCCGTGGCCTGATTGGGATCTTGCTTGATCAACACCACGGCCCTCTGCGCGATGCGGATCAAGATCGTCAGATCCGCGATCTTCTCCTCGCCGCTGGCGCCCAAACGCAACCTTCCCGTGAGCATCTGCACCAGCAAGCTGGCATCCGGCTCCCGCTGCACGGCCAGCTCTATCGCTGCCTTGCAGGCCTCCTGCAACCTCAGGAACATCTCGGAACCGAACACAGAACGGGGAATCGAGAACAGCCCCCTTTTCTCAGCTGCCGGCGGGTGCTCTGCGGAGACGCTGGTGCCGTAGCGCAGGATGGCCGCGAGCTCGGCACCTCCGGAAAAACAGCAGGTCCCCCAACCGGCCACGAGCACACGGAAGCGACTACACTCGAACTCCGCTGATGTGAAATTCGCTTCTTGTTGGCCCAACGGCCGAGTAGAGGCCCACTTGTGCGGGACGGACGGGCCTCCGAACGCAGCACCACCATCACCTCAGCAAGCCCCACGGGTGGCATGCACGTTTGCCCGAGACCTTCTGACGAGGAGCTTAAGTTCCGCAAGGTGGTGGCTGCAGCAAGACCGGCAGCTTTCGCTGTGGAGACTGCACATGTTCTCGTCGCCTTTGGGAGCCAGTCCGTCAAGAGCGGGATGAGGGTGTCACAGTTCTTGATGGCGGTGGAAGCATACTCGTCCTCCGTGTCTGAGACCATGCGGGAGACGGCAATCAAAACTGGAAGGGCACCAGCAGCAGAGTCTGCCAATGTGGCAGCATCCAGTGCGTGCAGCAGAGCCTGTGCCAAGTTCTGGGTCATCTGAGGATCCGTTGGCAGCGTCTGGCTGTTGATGGCCTCGACGGCACAGGTGGCCGCAGCTGTGCGCAAGACTTCCTCGCTGCTCCGGAGCTCGCAAAGCACCGGGGGCCAGATGTCGTCCATGGGCATGGAGTCTTTGGAGTCCTTCCCTGTGTACCGCTTCACAGCATAGGGCAAAAGCCTTGCCAGAAGCCGCAAGGAGGCACAACGCAGCCCCGCCTCCAGATGTCCTGTAAACTGAACTGCCGTCTCTACAGCCTCCAGCTCCAGCAAATGCCCCGCTGTGTCGATGCCGTGGCGACACAAACAGCTCAGTGTTGACAAACACGCTCGCTGCATGGGAAAGGCCAAAGCATCGTCCCTGGGATCCCGTTGGCCTTTAAAGCGATCAGTTCTTAACCACTCCATGATCGCCTGATGACCTCCAAACTCAATGATTTCGCTGGCGTGCGCATGCGAGAACCAGGCAAAGTGGCCCAAGATGAGTACCAGCAACTCTCCATCCTGGGCCGTGTACTTCTTTGGTCCGACTCCCTCTGCAAGGACCTCGCAGAGGCCCTGCACGTGCTCCCTCTTGGGGCCGGCTTGCCTCAAGATCTCCACGTCGCAGCCACGCCCCGAAAGTGCATTGATGTCCTTCTGCAGGATGTTGTGCGCGGAGGTTCGGGGCATCATCACCCTTACGCTCCCCAAAGACATCCATTGCGAGTCCGCTGCATCGATGTCATCCCTTAAGCCCTGCTTTCGACGGAAGCCCGCAGTCAGATGCAGCAAATCTTCCTCGTCCTTGGAGCGCGAGTCGTTCGCTGGAGGCGAGAACTCGGCGACGAAGTTCTCGATGCCTAGGCAGGGACCCAGCCGACCAAGCACAAGCGCCACACCTCAACCCCCTACAGCCGTCACATCCTCCGCACCTCGCGGCGCCCAGCCATTCGACTTCAAATCCTCTACATCCATGTGGACCTCGCGAAAAGCAGGGCGCGGTGCCGCCCCGTCACCCCCTTGCAAGGTGTTGCCTAGAGTGAGTGGACTGAGGGCCCGACCTGCAGCATTCCTCCCAAGTCCGGTCCCGAAGACCAGACGACGGGCGGGAGCACCGCGATCAAATCGCCACAGAGCCGGGCAATGCTGGCCACGGCCCGTGGGCAGTGCTTCTCCAAGGCTCGGGTGCCCTCCTGCAGCACCTGCGTGGCATCCGGGTGACCGGCCATGGCCGCAAAGATGGCCCCAACGCCTCCGCCGGCGCGACTTGCTTTCAAGGTCACCTCGTCCTTGGACAAGGCGAAGAGCGCCCGGACCGCCGTCTTCTGCAGCTCCTGGACACTCGTCGGGCTCTATGAAATCCCAGGACATGCAACAGAAATATCATACCTTACTACAGAGTGTTATTCGTGATTCTATACAACCACATTTTACAATACACTAAAAATTATGGCGGCATGGTTGTGTTTCCTTCCTCTCTGCTCCTTGTCGGAGCGGTGCCGGGCCATGGCGTTCACGATCGTCCGGATGCCCCGGTTCTCCAGGGCCAGGAAGGAGGCGCCGAGCCGGGCGATGATCAGAATGCCCTGGGAGACCAGATCAGCCTCAAAGGGGATGGATCAGAAGGACTAGTAAACTAAAAACCGGACTAACACACCTCTCAAAAAAGCCTTTGCAGTCAGAAAGACGTAGACGAACACGCCAACACATCAGACGCACCTGTCAAATAAAAGCCTTGCAGCTTGCCAGGCTTGCCAGGCTTGCCGAGGGGCCCTTTGCCCATGCTTGCGCATGGCCAGCTCCAGGATCTTGAAAACCTCCGTGGCATAGCCGTTGTTGTGGAGCAGCTCCCCAATCGACGCAAGAAGGACACAGCACTCGAGCTGTATTTCTGCATCTTGCGGAAACAGCTTCATCGAAGTCAAGATCCGAGCCAGGCCATGGAACGTCCACACCTCAGGGCGACAAGAAAGCGATCTGGCACGCTATGCACGCTGCGCCAAGGCCCGGATCCCGTCTGAGGGATGCCTCCTCCAACTGCTTCCCCAAGGTTACGACGCGGGAGCCCGCCATCGTCATCTCGCGGGCCCGGATGTACACGCGCCGCAGCACCTCCCAGTGACACCAAGGCAGGTCAGAGCCAGGCAAAGACCCCCCCGAAAAGCCCGCCATCGCAGCGCCTGACAGGCGATGAGCTGCATCTCCTGGTCGCTCGGGAAGTTGTCCGATGACCTCAAGGACTCGAGGACTCCACACAGAAAAGACGCAGAAAAAAAGCTTCGTCAGTTCGGCGCGGTTCCCGCAGCTTCAGGAATCGGATGTGGCGGACGGGCTGCCGCGACATGAAGTGACTTTCTTGGGGCGAGGCTTTGCTGGTGACGGTTTGGTAGCAACTGGCAACTGGAAGGCATTGGCTTAGACATTGAATCTGGCTTTCGCGAGCCCAGCCCAAGAGCTGGTGAACTTGCGGAGTTGGTGAGCTTGACAGTTTTGAGGGAACAGTTTTTCCTGCAGCGACACCAACGCTAAGCTAACGCCCGCCGCAAAACATAGCCCGTAATTGTCAGAAACTCCTTGCGCAGCCGCATAAGTGGCACCAGCTACCGACGCGCCGAGGCCAAGCAATGAAGCATGCGATAGACACTTGGTCATTGGAACCAGCACGGGACCCCAACCTCTTCGCCAAACCACCAGGACTCGGTTGTCAACTGGACTCCATCGGATCTACCCAGTAGGCGCAAGACCGTCGATTTGGCCTCTCGGTGAGGGGAACCTGCTAACTCCCCCTGCGCAGACAGGAAGACGACGCAAAAGCCCATGGACACAAGCAAGACGAGAAGACTAAGATCCAAGCTGGACGCGTCGAATAGCAAGCAGAACAAGCAGCAAAAAACAAATCACAAAGTCAAAAGTAGAAAGCAACAGGTACGAGTAAAGCCGCAAAGCCCCTGAAAAGCTGTGAGATGCCGACAGCAAGATGTCTGGTGCAACCGACTTGTCGACGATGGCATCCACTGACAGCAAGTCGTGCTTCGTCAGGTGCCCCAGAACCTGGAAGCCCCGGAACACGACCTGCGGCCAGCGCACTTTAGCGAGTCACGCTAGCCAGCGTCCTCTGAATAGTACGTAAGGGTAGCCTGTATTATTCAGCTTTGATCAGGGAACCCTAGCATAGCACGGGCAGACAGGGACAGCTGGGAACCAGTTAAAGTGTTGTGACAGAAGCGAAAACCCCTGTCTTTCCCCGCCTCTCGATTCGAGCTGAAGTGCCTCATGATGACCACCGTCCGCTCCACTGCATGATGAAGCCGAAGCCGCTGACAAAACTCGACATCATTCTCGGTCTTCTCAATGGTTGCCTTGGTGGACACTTCGGCTTCGGCGGTCGGTGGGCTCACGCGTTTCAGACTCCACCCGCACCTGCTTTCTGAACTCGCATTCGCAGAACCGCAGAACCCTCTTCGCGAGAAGCTTCGGGGGCTTTCCGTTCGGTTAGCTGACTTTCAGTGTCCGCTCTTTGTGCTCGCGGCTGTGGCTCTGCCGCCCGATCCTGTCAGCACTGGCCGAACCTTCTTTTGGCCCCTCATCGCTCAGCGACTAGATGCAGTTCGCAGTGGATGCATGCAGGTTTCGGGTGAGCAAAGCTGGAGGCAAACAGAAGGACAGGGAACGACCACACCGTCCACACCTTCCAACATGTGACGCAGGAACAATCGCCTTCCCTCTGCACTTGTAAGTCACTAGTCACTAGTACAGCGTGGCTGTGGTGAGTTGGAATGATTGGGCCGAGATGCTTCGAGACAGGCAACCAGAGAGTGAAGTTGCCCAAAGGAGGAGTCCGCAAGGTCCAAAATCTCTTTGGGCGTGAGGTTCACCAGCTGCGACTTCTGCACCGCAATGCTTCCGCCTGGTTGGGCGTAGAGTTTCAAGATCTCTGTTCGCATGGTGGAGAGCTGCTCCATGGACGTCCCATCCAGGTCCGACGGCAGCGGCTTCACCTGCTGCGACTTTTCTCCGACTCTTTAAAGAGGAAGCCAAGAAAAGCGGAAGGGGGGGTTGCATGGGTAGTAGGTAGTAGGATACCGTTTGGTCCCATATAACGGGCATCGCATGATGGCACTTCGCACCTTCCGCGGCTGCATGAGCTCGCGGATGGAGGCGGCCATGTGCGAGGCGTCGATGATGTCTTGACTGGCAACCAGCGGTGCTTTGGTCAGCACGGCCTTTTTCGTTATCTTCGAGAACCTGACGTGGCAGGACACGGGCCGGACACAGGGCAGAGGACGCAGGCCTCAATGCAGGCTTCTTCGAGCCGAGGCACATGGGGAAGATCTCTGGATGCTTTCGGATGGGATGCCGATGATCCCCCAAGATGTTGACGAGCATCTTCAGCAGCTGGTCTGGGGGCATCTCTCGACCCTGGAAGTTCAGAGTGTTGTACAGGCTCTGCGAATTGCTTTGGCTCTGCGTGCTTTGGGTGCTTTGCGCTTTACTCAGCGTGCTGCTCTTTGCGTGCAGCGACGGGGCGGAGGCTGAGGCGCTCAGGCCCCGGACAGTCTTCGCAAAAGCTTCTTCTGTGTCCTTCAAGGTCGTCAGAGCCCGTGTGAGTGCGACACTTTTCCTGGGCTTCTGGGCGGGTGAGGCGGCTTCGGAGGTTAGACCTGTCTCTGCCAAGCTCTGGGAGTCCATGACGCTGGCCGTGGGGCTTTGAGACAGCGCTGGCCTCTTGCTCTTCGGGCTCACTGGTGTCGGTAGTGCCGGCCCCGGCTTAAAGGTGGGCATCTGAGGCCCACGCACCACATCGATGAGCCCCGAGTGCAGCAACGCAATCTGAAGCATCATGGAGTTTCGCCGGACATGCCGCCTCTTGGGAACCACACTCTTGAGCAGGAAGGCGCCACACATCACTTGCTCCGTGGAAATGCCGAGGAGGTTTGCGATCTCTTCGGCCACCATTTGTCTCAAGGACTCCAGGTGTGACTCTCCGTAGCTGAGCTCGAAGGGTTCGATGCTGAACTCAATATCTGCCACTGCTGCCAGGACTAAGTCCCCCATCTGCCTCCCGTGGGTTGACAGAACACCTGGCGGTGGATTGAAGGCCAAACTTGACACCAAGCGATCCTCGACGGCGCCCTGTTCTGGCGTTATGCTCAGGAGTCTCCAGGTGTTGGGCTTGCTGCGGGTCCTCTTCATCCACAAGTCAAACTCGTAGGCGATGCCCTCATCGTTGCAGCCGTGGAGTTTCGCGGGATCCAGCAAAGGCCCGCCCCTCTGGAGGATGGTGAGACGGCAGCTCTCGCACTGGATGATCACGGCGCGAGCCTCCTCGGCGTCCTTGTTGATGGAAGTCTTCAAGGATGGCAAGGAGGGCAGGGATGGCGAAGGCGAGTTGGCCGAGTCCACGGAGACGACGACGCGGAGCATCGCGCCCACAAGGACGCCGGTAACACAGTGCGGCCAAGCTGGCTGGTCTGGGGTGGTTAAGACTTCCCGAGTCGCTTCCTCTCGCAACTGAACCACCGCTGTCGGCACGCGGTAGCAGAAGGTGCCTCCGCCGCGAGAGGAGAGCCTGCGAACAGCTTCCCTTACATTCTTGAAGGCCAAACCCTTCTCGCCCGGGCCCTTCACCGACTTCTCGTTGATTTCAAGAACCTGCACAGGTCCCGGTGACCGAACTTCCACGGCCGCAGGCACGCAAAGTCTCAGGTTGTTCAGAGGCTCCAATCGCCATGCAGCCGTGACGATGTCATTTCGAGCGGAGTTCGAAATCCAATAAGCCTCTCCTTTGGAGTCCTTCACGGAGCTTTCCGAATCTCGGCCTGGGAGTCCCTCATCCAACCAGCTGGGAGAGGGCGACAGGAACCCCCCATCGGGCTGGTCCTTGCAGCACCGCCGGCCTGCAAGCAGCACGCAAGCACGGCAGCACGGCACGTCCCAAAAACCCTCCGCCGCGCTCTTTTCTATTTTCGCTTCTCGCCCTCTCTCCCTGCCTAGAGCCGCAATCGTCGACTGCGGTAGCTCGGCTGCTTGGTCACATCCCAGCGACCGCCAGACCCACATGACGGTGCGAAGCCACAAAAGCTGCGCCAAGGACACAAACACCGATTACCACGGCAGCGTGATGAACGTCCCACGGGCATGTCTCCCCCTGCAGGCTCCTGTTGCAAGACTACCCTGATGCAGCCGGCCCTGCTTTTCGGGCTCTTCAAATTGTAAGGATCACATCTGGTCTGGGACGGCGTCAGCAAGCTACAGTCTGACGGAAGATCGCCTACTACACGATCACAGAACAACCGGTCACATGCTAAAGTTTAGGCATCTCGAGGTTTTTTTCCACTTAGAGACAGAATGTAAAACTACATGGATACTGACACAAAGTGAGGCCTTGCGTCACGAGGTACCGCAAGAGAGTGTCGGCATGCGAGCTGTAGCTGCGCGCCACTCACCAAGCTCCAGGGCTTGCGTCTGTTCCAATCAACTGCGCCTCAAAAGCTGGAAGTTCTCTGGGTCAAGAAGGAAACATTGCCGCAAGCGCTTGATTGAAAAATTGTTGGCATGCACAAAACTCTTTAATCGACAGCCCGAAGGCAGTCAAGCACGCAGCCAACAATAACGGCCTAAGTCGTGCGAAGTCCCTGTCTCTCCGCTGACGATGGTCCTGGGTACTGCACGAAGAGAAGGAGTCCGTTTCTGATGCTGGACGTCGCCAGTGTACAGACAGGCACTTCGCACGTGTGCACATACGGACTGAGATCAAATTCCGTGAAACGAAGCAAGCGAAACGACCAAGAAACCAACTGCACATTGAACCTTGAAGACTCAGTCCTGAGGTTCGCTCTACCTATATACATACAAATTCGGAATCATGCACAGAACAGCAGCAGGGACGGGCGGCACAAGCTCGTAGAACAAATGGATTAAGCTTGATCATCGCCCGGTGGAAGGTAAGTCATGGACCAGGGACTACACGGCTTCACACGGCTTCAGAATCGGATTCCTCACCCCGTCTCAGCCAAGACCGACTGTCTGGGCTCTTGGTCTCTGAGCTGGCCTCCGGACTCTCTTGGAACATCCAAGAACTGGGCGCGCGGGCCAAAGCTTACGCCCCGGCCGGGGCCGAATCGGTGACGGTCGAAGGCGGTGCCACGGGCGGGTCAAGGATGGAAACCTGCCGGCAAAGCACGAACGTGCACAGACCATGACACCCCGGAACCAGCACGCTGCGGGAACCTGGCAAACCGGACACCTGGCCGAACAGCTTGTGAACCACTTGCAAGCCTGAGGGGCAATCCGGGTTCCAACAGCGGCTGTGTGCTGGGAGAGTTCTACCGAGTGCACGGCACATTCAAAATGGAACGCGTGGCCGCAAGGCAATTGTGGCACCTTGGGGGGCGCAGGAGCGTGCGGCGCAGGAAGCATGAGAGCCGCGCCCAACTGTGCCGGGCCTTACAATCTCCAAGTTCCAGCAGGCAAACCTCGGGCAAAACAAGCTGAAGAACTTCTTCTCCCGGGCCCCCCAACACTTTCCTTTCGAGGCGAGCCATGCGCACGGGCGCGCCCGCGTGCCCGCGCGCGCACGCGCGCCCCGCCGCCTGGCAAACCTTCGAGCCGCACTCCGCCGCAGGCACCAGGGGCAAAGCCTCGCAGACTTCCAGAGCTGAGCTCAGCTCTATCTCTCTGCATGAGTCCTTTTAGTTTTAAGAAAAAAGTGGTTGGGGGGCTCCCCTGCTCCTGTCCTGGCCTGCAGCAAGGCTTCTGGAAGCGTGTTCTTCTTGGGCAGGCTTTCGTCTAAGAGACAGAGCCTGGCAAGGGCTCCACTGCTCGGCGAGTGCCTCCCCCCCCCCCCCCC